TTTTTATTATTTTTTGTAAATGAATCTCATGATCCTCTAAGGAATTTGAATATACTATAATGTCGTCTATATAGACATGACAAATTTTTCCGATATATTTTCGTAAAATATCATCCATTGCTCTTTGAAAAATGCTAGGAGCATTTTTTAACCCAAATGGTAGTCTTAAATATTCGTGTTTACCATTATTTATTGAGAAAGCTGTTTTCTCAATGTCTTCTTCTTTCATTAAAATTTGATGGAATCCCGATTCCAAGTCTATTGTAGAGAAATATGATGCTTTTCCTAAATTGGAAAGAATAACATTGGTATCAGGTATTGGATACCTATCCGAAATTGTTTGTTCATTTAACTTCTTGAAGTCAATCACCATTCTTAGTTTTGGTGTTCCATTTCTTTCTACTCCTTTTTTTGGTACAACCCAAACAGGTGAGTTGTATGGACTCTTACTTTGACGAATTATACCGTCTTTTAGCATTTTTTTAATTTCAACATTTATAAAGTCATTCACAGATAGTGGATATGGATATTGTTTACTCCATATAGGAGTTTCAACAATTGTGCGGATTTTCGCTTTTATATCCGTTCTAAAAGCAATGTTTAAATTTATATTATTGTGTATTTTTTTTATTTGATTTATTATTTCTCCTTTTAGGGTATTTATTGATTTATATTTCTTATCAGAAATATTGCCGGTAAATTCTTCGGCTGGCGCCTTAGGATTATTTCCTAAGGTAATATGTTTATTTTTAATATTATTATTTTTAATATTATTATTTTTTTCAATATTGTCGGAAAATTCATCGGCTGGCGCCTTAGGATTATTTCCCAAGGTAATATACTTGTTATTAATACTTTCTTCGTAGGGATTTATTTTATATCCCTCATTTTTATATATTAATATTTCTTTCTCGAAATTTAATGTAATATTGGCTTTTTTTTAGAAAGTTATAGCCTATTAATAAGTCTGCATCGAGTCCATTTATTTCATAAAATCTTTCTTTTATATTAAATATAATAAATTCAGAAAAATGGGTTATTATTGTGTGGCCATTAATGGTCCTAATTCTTTTTTTTATAACTAATTTTTTCCTAACTTTAAATATGTTTGGCGAACAATAACAACTTGTTGCGCATGTATCAATTAGAATTTTTAATCTTCTTTTGGACTTTGTTGTGGTTGCGAAGACATATGGGAGGTCGTGGCTTTGTCTAAAAAAGCACGCTCGTTTATGTTATTGACCCTCTGATGTTTAACTGGAGGCTGTCCACTGTTTACTTTATTGTCCATTTCTCTTTTAATAAAATTGTTTCGTGGATTATAAAATTGTCCACCTTGAACATTTTTATTTTGATTATTATAATTTCTATTAAAATTATTATTTTGTGAAAAACCTCTTTGATTTTGATTATATTTTTTATTTTGGTTATAAGCATTTTGCTTAAATTGATTGGAGTCATCGACTTCCATTGGTTCAGGTTTACTAAATGTTCTTTTTTGATTAAAGAACCTATTGTTATTAAAATTGTTATTGATAGGAAATCGTAAATTATTCCTATTATTATTAAGGTAATCATGAGCATTATTTCTGCTGAATTGCAGAGCGAAGTTTGCTCTCATATTATTTGAATCTAATTCTTGGGCTTTTGCCAAGGCATTGGGTAGGTCCTCTGGAGAGAGTGAGAACAGGATATTGGATAATGGAGCATTCAGCCCCGTGATAAACACTCGAAGAGCGTTTTGACGATTTTGATCATTTATAATCTTAGTTATATTGTTATTTGTACCATGCGCCATGATGATTTTGTTTATTAAAACTGTCAATTTTTGATTCACTAACTTGTAATAATCTATAATAGAACGACTTCCTTGTCGTAATACACTTAATTCTTGTTCAAGAATGTGTAGGGGTCGCTTATCTGCATAAGCGAAATCTAGACGACTAATAATAGCGTCAAAATTTAAGACTGTGCCATGGCTTGTCAAAACGTCATTGGCATCCTGAATAATTTTGTTACGTAGAATTGTAAGAGCCGCGAAGTATCTCTTACTTCCTTTAGTGTAAAGGTGAATAGAATTATTGGCGGCCTCGCGCCAACTTACATACAAATTATTTTTGCCAGAGAATTCGGGTAAAGATTTGATTATGCCTAAAGATTCATCGCATTTTATGTTATCGTCAATTGTCTGCGTTTTGTATTCAGTAACTACGTTTGTATTCGTCAAAGCTAGTAATTGACTTTTTAAAGTATTAATTTCTGCCTTAAGGCTAACTGTGTTAGCAGCAATCAGTCTCGTAATTAAGTCAGTGTTTTCAGTCATTTTGGACACGCGAAATTTATTAAATTTTGAAAGAAGTTCGTCCAGTTTTAAGGACTCTTATATATCAAGTATCCAAAAACAAATGATTAAAAACAGGCCAAAAACAAAAGTTATAAAATTTTTGCAGAGCTCTTTTTTTAATATAGAACGGAAAATTACTAATGATTTTGTAAAAGCACTCAGAGTAAATGCAGTTATAGTGCTTGTATGAATTAATTTTTGATTAAATTTACTTAATTGTATATTTTTCTTCATACATTTATAATTTGTATTAAATATTTTTAATATCTTCGTATGATTTTAATAAATATATACTTATTTACATTAATTTTATTCAATTGAAACTAAATAATGATATTAACATACATAAAGAAATACCTTGCTGATGTTGTTGTTCCTATTGTTTCTGTTGTTTGTTGTTGCGTTGACCTTGAATTCTAAATGCTTCGAAAAATCTGGAGACGCTCGGGCTTAGTACTGAATTATCCTGACTTCCTTCAGGACCGTAGATGCTTTCTAGGTATCTTCTCGCCTTTATGCTTGCAGCTCTTTTCTGCAATATTCTGATGACTGCTTTGTGCTCGTCAGTAAGGTTCTCTTAATTTCAAATTAGAAGTTTCACACAACCTATTTTCTTCACTTATTTTTACAGCCACCTTTTAATTATTGTTTAATTTAGTAAATATATTATTACTTTTATTTTATAAGATTCAAAAGTTTTTAATTTTATTCAGCACGATTTCATTCAGGAGCAATTTAGCAATTTTTTAGAAAAATTTTATTGGAATTGTTTTTACTCAGTTTTTAATATTTAACTATTTAATGAATCAGCAAAAATTTATAATATATTTTGCCATCAATTATTTTCATTAATTTTTATTATTTCGTATGCGATTTCCTGTACGCACTTTAAATGTTTTTTGGAGATAAAAAATGTGTCTTTTACTTTATTTTATATTTTGAAATATAAATTATACATGAAATATTTTAGTTTGTGTTTTTGCTTATGTATTTTTTACAACGCTTTTTTTCACAAATATTATTTAATTTTATTATCTTTAATAGATAAAGAAATATTTTTTTTTTTTAAACTTGTTGTTATTATTTTAATTTAATTGTTCATTTTGTAGATAATTTTGATCAACTTCTATTTTATGAATTATAATTTTTATTGTTAAATGTTTCTTTTTTCTCCCTTTTTTTTCTTTGGGATACTTGATTGTTAAAATTCACTGCAAACACCTTTGTTTTCGGGTGTTATGTATTGCAGGAATTTTTATTTTTTTCACTCACGTCGCGTACTCTCTTTTTTTTAATAAATTTTCCACATTAGCGTGAGTTCACTGTGGTTGACACTCGCGTCGCATACTTTTTATGTTCTGCAATTGTGACGAGTCGCATACTTTTGTCTGCGTTTAGCGTGAGTTTACTGAGACACTCGCGTCGCGTACTTTTTATTTTTCCGCAATAGTTATGAGTGCCCCATGTTGGGCGCCAATTAACTTTTTTAAACACGAGTTTTTATTTTTAAAAAATATTTATTTATTATATAAAATATATATATGAATTACATGTTATAAATTTAGTTTTCCGAATAGGTCAGATTTGAGGCTTAACTTCTTGAATGCTCGAACTAGACTGACTCTTCAAGTTTTATTCTTCAATAACTGAAGTTATTATTTAGATTGCGAAATTGGGTTTTATCCAATTAGAGCACAGCTTCTAAAATTCCTGAGAATTTTCTAGAAGCGTCTTTTTCTCCAACCAATAGAATTGAAGCTTCTATTTGGTAAAGCACCTCGTCAGCGTCTTTAGCTTCGGCGTCAATAGCCGGAAGATGATGTTTATATCCATCAATCAAATATCTCAAATGAGTTACATCTTTAAAGAAAACAATTTTGTTTTCCTTTGCAGCATTGCTGTCAGATGAAGTATGGGCATTAAGCCTGAATGTTTATATAAAGATATTTTGATGCGTAATATCTAAGTACGCATTCTGAAGATACAAAAGTATTAAACAGTGGTTCAGTGCCGTTATGTTCATTTAGGGTTTTAACTTGCATTTCATATCGCTTCATAATGCAAATAAGAGAAACATCCCTACTTGTTTGGTAGATTACTGACCTACATATGTATAAGGATGTGTATAAATGTATATTTATAAAAATATGTACTTTTATTTGGAAGAATATGAATATTTTTTGATCTTATTTTAGGAACATTTGAAGCAAATGCCACCAATTTCAATTTTTTGTTTTAATCAGGTATAATAACAGTTATATGTATGTTATATTAGTATTAGCTAAAATAAGATAATTGTATTTTTAATAAACGGCGTTTCATCTCCTCATCGCAATCATTATTTACGGCTACATGTGCCATTGGCGTCACATGCCTACGATGCGGCCTTTTGTAAAATGTTTTGTAGATATTTTTTAGCCCTCATCATTATTTCATAACTTTGGCTTCTGATTTGGACTTCCTTTAAAAGCGTTGGGTGCTTGTTTTTAATATACTCGTAATGTTTATACAGCACATTAATCCCTTCATCGCTCACACGGAACGACAAAA